GAAAAATAAGAACCAAGAGACATTATGTAAAGGTGCAAATTTCCAATGATGAATGTCATTATATTGTATACCTAAAAGGGACCAATGATTAGAATGAATAATCGATAATGCAAAATAGGAAGAAAAGGTCCAAAGGGGTAGGGGGTAGTGGGAGGGGCAGGGAAAAGCAAAGAAGGGAAAGGAAAAATGAGGAGAAATGGAAAAAATGGAAATAAAGTCTTTGTAACTAGGAAGGGTGGAGGGGGTGAAGGGAGGGCTAGGAAGGGGGAAAAAATAAGAACCAAGATGCATCATGTAAAAGGTACAAGATCCCAATGAGAAATGTAATTGTGCTGTATACCTAAAATGTACCAATAAAAGAATTTAACAAACAAAACCCCAGGATGTTGTTTTTAAGAAAGGTATTGTTGAGATGCCAGAAGCCAAATTACCAAAATATTAATAAACTTACAGATATTATTGGCTAGAGAAGGTTATTTGGAGATAAGTTATTATATTAAATACTTAATGTATGATTGACTGTACATATTATATATTCCTTGCTTCAGCAGATCATGAGTACAGAGTTTCTTTCAGTCAGAGCTAGAATTAGGTCTCTCAATCATGTGGTTTCAATTAAGTTCTGTTAAAAATAGCTTGTAATAGGGCCGGGGATTTAGCTCAGTGATTTTGCTGCCTGCTGCGCAAGCGCAAGGACCCGAGTTCAATCCCCAGTACCAGAAAAAAAAAATAGCTTGTAATATAAGCATTTTCATTTTTAGCACTTCAACAACTTTACTCCTTTAATCCATACAAAGGATAGACTTTAGGGGACAAAAACAAAAACAAAGGAAGTTCCAGAATTCCTTAGTGCTGGCTCTTTACAAATAGCAAAATCGTGTATTTTAATGTTTAGTTTTCTAATATCATCTATTTGGCTCTGCTTTTATAATACAAATACATGTATTTAAGAAGCCTATGGAAGAATTTTCTTCACTGATTAAAAGTAAATTACAAAAATTTCAAGAGAATTTCTACACAGAGAAATATCACAAAAATTGGAGAATTCTGAATTTTTTAATTTCATATAACTTCAGGTAGACATTTCATATAATTTTATGTAGACATTCTTTTAAGGACTTTGAGTTCACATTCATATCTTCAAAGTAATAAAATTTCATCCATAGCTGTTATATCTTGCCATTTGCTTTTGTTATAATATCTGGAGAAAAAATATAATAAGAGATTACTTCATATGGAAGCAAGTGTGTAACAGTTACTAATAACCAATCCCTAAGGGTAAGAGCTCTTTTTCCCTAGATCACTCTACTTCTACCCCATCAAGCCTTAGAAAACAAGCTCAGAAAACATTTTTGAAAAAAAAAGGAAGAGGGTGGAGGATTTAGCTCAGTGGTTCCACCACCTGCCTCGCAGATGCAAGGTCCCGAGTTTGATCCCCAGTACCAAAAAAAAAAAAAAAAAGGACAGCAATAGCTGGCTCAACCTTTCTGGATATATTGGGAACAGTTCTCTGGAAACACAGAGACCTACTCAATAACATTCTAGAAGAAAAGGCAACAAAACCTGCTGTCAGTGACCATTGCAGGGCTTCTTAACCTCAGCCTTGTAATCTAGTGGAAGCTATCTAGCTGTGCTTCCCTTCTTTGTCCTCCTCAGCCTCCACCCAGGCAGAAGCCCCTTACATTCTCCCACCCAACTGCTCTCTCTTTATTGTAGTTGAATCCAGATTCTTCCCACATACAGCATTCTGGGGTCTTTTCCTCCCCACCTTACACCAAGAGATCTAAAATGGAGCCAGCTTTATCTATTTCCTATTGTCCCTTTCACATTATGATATATTCCTTATGACATAATTGCCTTTAGCAATAGTTCTAAAATTGTGTTACACTTTGGAATTATCTGAGCTTTAAAATAAACTAGTATCTAGGCTGTGCTCCATAGCAATTAGATCAGAATATGTGAGGAATCCAGATAAAACACAAACAGGAAAATATGATACGCAGCTTAGTTTGGGAACCAGAGAGCTATCTTTGCTACTAAAAGTTGAGTCCAGGGATCAGTAACATTAGCATTACCTAGTATACTGTTAGAAATGTAGACTCTTGGGTCTCAATCAAGATCTGTTGTACTAAAATTTCCATTTTGACACAATCTTCAGGTGATTCACAAATTCATTACAGTTGGGGAAGCAATGCCTGTACTACCCTCTATTCCTCCTTGTTCTCCTTGCTAACCTCATACACTGTCTGCTCACTTATGAAAGATCTTGTTCAGTCATCCTCTCCATACCAGCATCTTTGTGTAACTTCCTAAGTGGGTAATAAGTCCATCCAACCATTTAGTGTCAACTACCCTTCACCTTAGTAACATGTACATATATGCCCAGGGCCATGACCTTTACTTTCCCCTATCATAACATAGAATACAGGGCCGGGGGGTTGGCTCAGTGGTTCCACTGCCTGCCTTGCAAGTGCAGGGTCCTGAGTTTGATCCCTGGTACCAAAACAAACAAACAAACAAACAAACAAACAAACATAATACAGAATACATTACTTCTAAAACTTTACAATCCTAGAGACCTTGAAATTATCTTCTAATCATTCTTCTTTCTCTCTACACTGTGCCAGTACTGAGTTTGTCACTAAGCCCTGTCAATATTTTAGTTTAGACTAGTTTTCAAACTCCAGAATTCCTCAGTTTGAGGAATACTTTGAGATACACTAGCTCAGATTTTTTTTTTTCTTTTTGAGTCAGAGTCTCACTATGTAACCCAGGCTGGCCTTGAACTCTCTCAGCAATCCTCCTGACTGAGCCTCCCCAAGTGCTGGGATCACAGGTGTGTGCCACCACACTTGGCTGTTCATGAGAATTTTTGCAGAACTGCCACCTGGAGTTTCTACACCCATCTCAATTCTTTCCAAACCATCTCCACACTTCATGCCGGAATTACCAAGCAAAAAGCAAATTAGATCAGAATGAAATCAAAAGTCGCATGGTAAATGAGGCTTTCTACCATCTGCTCCTCAACTACTACCCAGGACTCTGTTCTCAAAAAGTCTAATCTCCATTCAAGCCGAACATGACTAATTTCAGTCCTTAGCTGAGAGTGTTTAAGCCACTGTGCCTTTACTTATGCTGGTCCCTTTTGGAAGGCCTACAGGCTCGGGATGTCCCTGTGGGCTTCAGATCATCTTCCAGTAGATTCTCTACCTTCCCTGTGTACCCCAACTGAATCTTACCTACACCTCTATTAAAGCACATATACCTCCACTGGACTTTACCTACCTTGCTTCCTATATAAAATTATAGACCTTCCGAAGTGAACAACTATGTCATTATCTCAATATCATCAGCAAACAGTTGTGTCTAGCATATAACATCCAGACTTAAAATTTGCTGAACGAGTGAGCCAACTATAAAGCTTCATCTTTTCATTTGATAGCTACACAAAACAAAACAACAGGCTTAAAAGGCTTCCATAATATAAATGTGTTTGAATGCTTTTTCCCCAAGGAACTAACTGGTATACTTCAACACTGTATTTGATCTACTTGTCTGTGTCAGAGATTATACACACTTACCCGATGTATTCTTTACATAAGATGGCATAGCCAAATTTACCATCAAATACAATAACCTCTCAATATAAATTGCATAATGAGGTTTTCTACCATCTGCTCCTCAATTACTACCCAAGACACAGTTCTCAAAAAGTCTAATCTTTTAATTTTTATATACTAGATACTTTACACAGATTATCTCTAAACCTCACAATTCTTGGAGGTAAAAGCTTACCAATTTTACGACATCAGGCTAAAATTTGTACAGTTTAAGGAATTTATTTATGTGACAGGGTTAGGATTTAAATTTAGGATGTCCTATTACTAAATTATTTCTACTACCATGTCTCAGATACTTGATTAGAGTGGTTTCAATCCAATTTGTCATATATCTGTATGATATTTCTACTTAATGTTACCTAAAAACTCAAACTTCTCACTAGTGATACATATGCATCTAGTTGAAAGCTAAAATACCCTCTCCTGGGTTTTGATATGCCTGGTTCTAGGTCTGATTCTACTAGTAAGTAGCTGTAGAATAGTGATTGGCCAAATCACCTATTAACCTGGTGAGGTCATTTTGTTATCTATAGAATGACTAGATATAAAATAGACTAGCTATATGATTCTCAAATTTTAGTGGTTATTAAAATCACTTTGAGTGTTCAACAGATAGTATTTTGGACTCTTGTGCCTTATGTTTACAGATTGTAGCTTCCCACGTAATGTTGACCGAGATGTTTTCTACAGTCTCTTCTATCTAGCTAGTCAACATTTTCAAACCCATACTCACCATACCACCTCCTCTATCACATCTTTTTTTAGTTTACTTCTACCAATTTTTTGCTTAAATCAGCATAGTGCCAGCTTTTAATGAAGAAGCAGCTTTCTTACAGGGTCCTAGACCATCAAAAGTGAGCTTCAACCTGTAGTCCTGATTAGATTGCCAAACTAGCTAAAACTTTAAATGCCAGGCCTAAAAATAGGGTGTTGCATATTTAAAATAACAGGATCACAAGTTAGCTTGGGGCTTTGCTATTTTTACTAAAGGAAAGGCTGAGACAAGTGGCCACAGGTTGAAAGGGAATTACTTAAGTGGGCAGGCTGCTGTTACAGTGGGAGCTTAGGAAAAAGCCAAGAGGTGGCAGCATTAGCTCAACATTTGTCAGGGGTCTCTGAATTAAAATAAAAACTTTGGCCTGAGCACTGAAATGAATCTCCCAGACACATTTTGGTTCTGAATCTGTTGTTGCACAGGATCTTTCACAAAGGAAGTGCTCAACAAATAGTAGGTGAATACAAAATAATCTCCTTATCTTTAAAAAGAATACTACTAAAAATTAAACCCAAACAACATAAAATTTCATATTGTTATGAGATATCCTAGATAAATACATTTTAAGTCAATGTCATAAGCTAATTCTTCAACACATGAAGTATAGTATTTGACTTTAAAATATTATTTTACTCAAGTTCTGAAACCTGACGACTTGTAATGTTATAATGTCCATTTTGTGCAAAAAAATTCTTAGAATACAATTCATAATTGAATTTCCTATAACAGAGGAATTTATAAGTAAATATTTTTATACAATGCAAAAAATATGGTCAGCATTCATAGTAGGGTACCTTGAGGAATATCTCTAGGAGGAGAATATCTCTTCTTCTTTATAATAACACCTTTACTTTTCATCTGTCTAACTCCTGGTGATGCCTTAATAATACAACAGATTTCTGGTCTGTTCGAAGGAAACTAAAAAGAAAAAAGCAGTCACTATATAACTCCTCCAGCTACTACATTTTTATGTTATTTCAAAAGCAAATAGCCTCAATATTTGTTTCATAGATATTATTAATAATCACACACACATATTAAATGCTTACTCTACTCCAGACCCTAATGGTTTTAAAACATTTGATCATTTAATATTCACAAGCAAGGCAGATCACTCTTATTTCACAAATGAAGAAACTCAGGGCAGAGAGACTAGATAACTTACTTAGGGATAAAGAGCAAGTCATGGCAGGTTTGAAAGTCAAGCATTCCAAAGTGAAAGAGAAAGTCTGCATGATTCATTGAGTTAAAACACAAGTTTAACTTTAATTCTAAGTCAAACATTAGATTCTTTGATTTCTCTACTCAAGTAATTTTGATGATTTTCTGTCAAGCAGACCATCTCTAGGATAAAGAAATACCACATCTTCATAAGTAACGTATCTTGTTAGAACTCAGAAGTAGAGATACGCATTTATCAAAGGCTCCTCCCATTTTAATCCATATTATCCTTTGTGGTAAATACCTATTTTCCTGTTCATTTTCCATTCTCCTGGTACTTGGGAGAATCTATCCACTTCCAGCCTGTACTCCACTTCATTCTTACAGATAAGGTAAAGCTGGTAAGACTTCTGTACTCCTCAGTTGGCCACAAGACAGCCTAGCCAACCAACATACTTAGCAAGCCTGACAGTGCTATCCTCAAAATCACGGTAAGTGGGCCAGTAGGAAGAAAGGGATGCTGACCCTGAAGTTTTGGCACTAAGAAAGAATCCAGCCCTAGCAATACCTACTGTAGTACAAACAGGTATAAAACCTCTCAGGAGGCTGGGATAACCAATTTAGGCCTGTAGGGTTCCTATCAAATAATAAGATCGAGTACAGAAATGATCAAATGTGGGGTCAGGTTCAGTGTCAGAATTATTCTTCAGTATTCAGCTTAGAATAGTTCCAGAAAGAAATGAAGGATGAAATATATTTCTCCTTCTCCTAAAATTCATTTAAACAATAAAGGATGTATCAAACTCACAGAAACTGAGCTACTGTGTATCAGACCTTTATCAAACAATGGATTTAAATCCATAGAACATCAGTTACTGGAGCTGCCAGAGTGGAATAGAATAACAATGCAGGAAATGACTAAAGAATTAACAGACTATCAGGAATTAAAGCAAATTTGAGGAGAAAATCAGAAATTCTGGAAAAATAAAAGTTCATTGAAGTACAAAATTCAATGGAAGGCTTAACAGCATAATAGATACAGATGAAGAAGAAATTATTGAAGGACTTATCCAGAATATGACTAAAAAATATTGAAGAAAATTGAAGATACAAAAGATTGAATCAAGTGTAACATGTGCTAGTTAGCCTTCCAGAGAGAATACAACAAATAATGGGTAGGAAATTTTCCAAACTTCTAAAACACATACATCCACAGATTCAGAGAGCTTAATAATCCAAGCAAAATTTTTAGAATTAAAATGAACAGCAAGCAAAAGCAATAATTATGTATACATTTCAGTGAAATTAAAGGATACCCCAAATAAGGAGACCTTAAAAGAAGCCAGAAAGAAAAAATATACTGCATCAGTCACCAAGATCACCCTCAGGTTCAATGATTTGCTAGGACTCATAGGATTCAGAAAAGCTGTTATAGTTTTAGTTTATTACAACAAGAGAATACAGATTACAATCAGCAAAGAAAAAAAGGCACATAGGGATAAATCTGGAAGAAAAAATTCCAGTTTTTCTCAGCTATTGGAGTTACACAGGCAGTACTCAATTCTCCCATATGTAAAGTGTTGCAAACTGAAGCAGCTAGTAAGCTTTTTTGTTTTGTTTTGTTTTAGAGGAAGGGTCTTACTATGTAGTTCAGGCTGGCCTTGAACTCCCAGCAATCCTCCATCCACAGTGTTACGAATGGATTACAGGCACGTGCCACCACACCTGGCAGGTAGTAAGCTTTGATATGAGGGTTTCTGCTTGGGATCAGTCATATGCATGCAGCAGGCAGCTGACGGACTTCAGACCTCCATCCCCACAGGTCAAACTGATGTAGGATAACTAGCCTCACACATCAAAAACAAGTATTTCCCATAAATCACTTTGTTAACCAACTATCTAGCATAGATATGACCTCAGGCACGGACACAATGATCAGTCACAATATTCCAAGAGCTCTGAGGTCATCTCCAGGAGCCTGGACAAAAGGGAGTCCTGCTGACCTTAGAAATGTACAAGCCTATTAAGTTAATGCTTTTCCACATAAGAGAGTTGCAACTGCAGTATGAAAAAAGACAGTAGAATATTATTATTAAAGAGCAGAGAGAAGCTGGGCACAGTGGTGTGCACCTGTAATCCCAGGCTGAAGGAAGGTTAAAGCAAGAGAATCTCAAGTTCAAGTCCCTCCTAGGTAATTTAGTGAGACCCTGTCTCAAAATTTAAAAAAAAAAATAAGAGGACTGGGGATGTAGCTCAATGTAAAGACCCTGGGTTCAATCTCTTGTACCATAAAAAAAGAGAAAGTAGTTATTAACATAGAAATATATAAACAGAAAAACTCTTTTTTCAAGAATGAAGGCAAATTAAAAGCATTTTTAAAAACCTAAGGCTGTACTCCACCAAAGACCTTCACTAAATAACCTTATGATGAACAAACAAAAAAGAAAAATGACTTCACAAGGATAGTTTAGAAGGCAAGAAGTAAAGGTAAGCAAATTAAAATACATTTAATGTAAACAAAAAATGCCTGAATAAATTAATAGTAATGTTGAGGATTATAATTTGGGTTTCTAAAAAAAGGACAAAATCAAAATTCTGTAATAATAAAAAACTGTAAGTTGGGAATATTGGTCAGCTTTCCCTTGTGGACAAAATACCTGATACCTGAAACCTGAAACAAAGGAGAAGAAATGCATTTGGCTCATGGTTTCAGAGGTTTCTGTCCATAGCTGGCTGGCTCTAAGACAAAAACATCACAGCAGAAGGGCATAGCAGAGCAAATGTTCATGGTGGCCAGAAAACCCCTGGACAGTACCAGAAAGGAAGGGGCCAGGGGCCAGATACAGTACCCAAAGTGACACCCCGTGACCCACCAGATGCACACAGAAGCGTCTTTACTGTTCCCCTATGTGGCTCTGAAGCCAGTCAGTTGACAATCCAGCTTAACTGTCAAAGTGGAAATAATGACTGGACTTCAAGTTACTCTAGGGTGAGTTACTGTTCAATCTTTAGACTTTACTTACATATACCTGGCAAATTTTCAAGTTTAGTCTTGTTGAAAGCAAAATAAAGACTATAAATTCCAAACTCATAGGGAAGGGGGGAAGTGGAATAAAAAAAATAAAACATTTTCAGTGTATCAAAAAATGTTAAGCAGGAAAAGAAACCATACAAAAATAGGATATAAAGAAAAAGTAGGCCAGGGATTTAGGTCAGTGGTTTCGCCGCCTGCTGTGCAAGCACAAGGACCTGAGTTCGATCCCCGGTACCGAAAAAAAAAAAGAAAAAGTAGAAGCAGGACCAAGTATATCAGTAATCACAATAAATATAACTGGATTAAACAGAGTTAAAAGACAGACTGTTAAGACTGGACTGAAAACCCAACTGTTTAAAAGAAGTCCGTCCAAAATAAAAGAATTTTGAGAAAGCTGAAAATAAAAGGATAGAAATAAGATGTACTAAGCTTTACATAGCGAATAGTAGAGCAACTATATTTATATTAAGCACGACAGAATTGAAGACAAAAAATATAATGAGGAACAAAGAAGCTTGCTGAAGAATGAAAACAAGTACAATTTCCTAGAAAAACAAAACAATTTTAAACATACACAGAGCCAAAAAAAATAGTTTCAAAATATATAGAGGAAAAATCTGTAAGGCCCACAGGAAGAAACTAATAAATCTGTCAACATAATAATGGCTAATTTCAACATATTACTATTATTGATGGCTTAAGCAGATAATATATCAGGAAAGAGAAAAACAGAGTTAACAAGTTTAAGTGACACAGAAATTTCACCTATTAACAGTTACAGAGTAAACATTAGTTTCAAACATATGAAACATTCAATAATCAATCATGTTTTAGACTGTAACACATGGGTCAACAAATGTCAAAGAATCCATACCATGTACATACTACTTTCTCTGACCAAAATGCATTTAAATTATAAGTGAACAATAAACAGCTCATATACACTTGGAACTTTTAAAAAATCTATGTTTCTAAGGAAATATTAGGTCAAAAAAGAAATCATAAAGGAATTTAAAAATCCTTAATACTGAAATTATCACATCTCAAACCTGTTTGATACAACTAAACCAGTAGTAAGAAGTACGTAACATAAACCCAAAGAAAATATTAAAAAGTCAATAAACATATGAGCAGGAATCAGTGAAATGCATTAAAGAAACAATACAGAGGATTAATAGTCATAGATAGGTTCTTTGAAAAATAAGAAAATGAACCTTTGACAAGACTAGTTTTAAAAAATAGGACTATTGGGCCAGGGATTTAGCTCAGTGGTTCTGCTGCCTGCCTTACAAGTGCAAGGACCCAAGTTTGATCCCTGGTACAAAAAAA